AGGAAAACAACAAGAAAAGGGACAAGAATATTGTATGTCTATTCTATTAAAATGTCAGTATCTCTATAATGGGTCTGTTTTATGTTTTCTTCTCAGGTCAGAGGGCCCCTTGCCTGTCTTTGCCTCGGGCCCCAAATTTCCTAAATCCACCCCTGTTGAGGGGAATAAAGAATCAATCTGACTCAGTAAAACTGAAAGTCTGTATCCAGCCTGAAAAGCCTTTAGGTACATATCCAGTTCTTTGGGGTCAAACTGCAGCTGACATGGCTGAAAGGTTTAGCAGCTTAAAAAAATAACTTAATCCTTTTTACTCTGAAACCAATCGCAGAGCTTCTACATAAGGGTAAGCATGGGTCCATTTTCACCAGCACTGAGGTCGGTGCAGTTTTACACATCTGGAAGAAAAAAATGTCAACTTTAAAATGATTAACTGCTGTTTAAATTTAAATGAACTGGTTGTAATGTTATTTAAGCAGTGTTGCTTTTAATTAACATTCAAAAAAAATTTTGATTGCCCCTTTTCATCCACAAAGCTTACCGTCTTACAAAGAGTCTAAAATTATTTTGTTTCCAGGTTTAATTCTTCTTTTGAATAACTTGACATGTTTTTTCTTTTTTTTTCCACTGCCAGGTTTGCCGAAAAATGATTTTAATTTCATAAAATCCAAACTGCTGAACACCAAAATAACTGCTTCAATTTTATTTTTCACTGGATGTAATTGGGCTCTTTGCAGGGGTTACTCTTAATGAAGGCCACCACCATTCAGTGGAACCAGAGGGAGACCGTCCCTCTTATCCCAGTTGAGCTTTATGAGAAACACTGAAAGTTTCCTAAAAAGATGCTTTGATGTTAAAGAAAACCTTGGCAAAGCCGTCTAAACAGAGATAAACACTTCTGCTTTCAGATTAAGACAATGAGCTTGTTTAAAAATAGGATAACAGGATATAAATGGACTAATTAGTCATAAACTCAAGTGTTATCCAGCCCAGATCCAATGAAATGGGCCAGATAAATTACTTTTTTCCTTCTAATGTCAGGAGACAATGATAACATACTTACTTCTGTTTATTTTCAAAGCCCCAGCAGACAAGTGAGGCCTGTTATAGAGCATCCTCTCATGTGAGAGATGAGTTCTTATTTAGCCTTCAAAGATCCTAACGATCCTTCTCAGAAGATTTCAGCCTCTTTCCAGGAACTCTTCCTACTTTTGGCACAAACACAGTGATAGAATTCAAATAACAATAACTATTCATTCAAACAAAGAAAATAACTAAGGCGGGAGATAAATTATACATTTATTGGAAATAAAGTAAAGGAAATATATTCATGATGGCAAAAATAGTCTTTATTCTTAACCTTTAAGACACAGCTCCTAAGGTGAGGTACGATGGTGGCAACATCGTCCTGAGGGGACGCTTTTCCTCATTAGGTGACGATTCATTGAGCTGGACGACCCAGAAGGAAAACTCTTAAGAGGTGGCAAGACTTATGACATCTTCAAGCAGCAGAATAAACTTTAACATACAGAGAGTAACTTTGGAATTGCTTCAATCTAAAGTATATTTTTGTATTAGAATGGCCCAGCAAAGATCCGGGCCTGTTGAATAAAGAATCAGTTATAAGATTTTTAAACTGGTGTTAAGAAATACTGGCTATCCACTAACTAAGCTGGAGAGAAATTTTGGAAGTTTCCAAACAAAAATGTCCTCCAGTTGTGCAAAGACCAGCAGCTGTAACTGCAGAAAAATGTGGTTAACCTGCAAGCTCTGAAATTGAATGTAGAGAAAATCTTTCAAGGTTGTTATCGGTTGTAGTTTTAACATAGAAAACTGTGATAATTTAAGGCATCTACAATTTGAAATTGAAACAGTTCTGACCATCTGTCTCACTGTGTGGTGGGGAGGCTGCAGCGCCTCAGACTGGAAGAAGGTGAGGAGACTGGAGAGGATCATGGGGGCTCCTCTTCCCTCCATTAAAGACATTTAATTCCAGCGCTGCGTGTCCTGAGCCCGTGACATCATCAATGACCCCTCACACCCCCGCCATGGACTCTTCTCCCTGCTGCCCTCTGGGAAGAGGCTTCGAAGCGTCTGATGCAGGCCCAGCAGATTCTGCAGCAGCTTCTTTCCCACCGCCATCAGACTGCTGAAGGTTGAATAAAAAGAGAAAAGAAAGCGCTGAATGTATAAAAAACTGCAAACCAGATCTCTGTCTTATGTTTACATTTGATCACTGCTGCACTTTAATTTTATTTTATTTGTCTTTTATTTTTTCCTACTTGCTTTGATTCTGTTTAAGCTTGCTGTATTTTAATCATGTAAAGCACTTTGCATTGTCTTTGTACTAAATTGTGCTATACAAATAAATTTGCCTTGCCTTGCACTTTAAGAAATGGAAATGTCTTTACTGGACGAAATGTTGTGTGTACAAAATGACAATAAAGTTTGTCTAAGTCTAGTCTAAGAAAGAGGATCCAACTCCTCAGCATATGTTTTCACAATATTTCTAAAAGATTTTTTAGTAGAATAGAACTGAAACATCAGAAAAAAGGTGAAATATTATTTTTTTTAAGTGTTTAAGTGGTTCACGATGCATCTGCCATAAAGCTTTCAGACAGTGTGTGAGCAGAGGAGGGTTTGAATCTGTAGATGGATGGGACCTTTTGTTTCCGCCATAGGAAGTGAAGCCGAGACGCTTCGTAAAGACAGAAATATTCCAAACGCACAGAGGTTGGAAATAAACAAACTGAAATCCTCCTGCTGTCTGTTCAAAATGATAAGAAAACCTCTTTGAAGAAGACAGCAGCACTTTTCATGTCGGTCTTAAAATAAGTTGAAGGAGATTAGCTGAGAACTCTATTTTCTTCACAAATTGTGAAGATGAGGCTGAATTTCATGG